ACCCGAAGATGGAATCGAGGACGATTCCAAAACTGTTGTCTCACTTTCCTCAAAAAATCTAGTTTGTGCATTGCGGGTTTTTCTTCTATAAAGAATAGTAGTAAAGGGAGAGCAGACAATGAAGAAGACTGCAGTAGGAGATGGAGTGAAGAATGTTTGGAGAGAGAAAGATGTGCATTCTGATGGTTGAGTAAATAATCTGGCTGGGTGGTTTGGAATGGATAGAGATATCAGTAACCATCAAGGAGGGGATATTAGAATCAGTGGTCGGAGCCATGGTCAAAGAAGAGGTAGGGGTCAGGAAACCAATGAAATCAAATTTGGATAGGCTAGTTGATGGAGCAAGCCTTAATGCCCCTAATAAGGCCCTAATAAGGATAAAAAATCTTCATTAGTAACCATGATGAGCCTGAAACACGTATAGAAAAGAAATGGTCTACCCCTCAAGGTCCCTACAAAGGTTAAGGGCTAGATAATTAAACAAGGGAATACCGGAGGCTGTTCATGATTGACAAAGCCTGCCTTTCATCCTTAGGAAGTGGACAGAAGAAAGGATAGAGAAGGGAATTGAAAGGGTGAGAAGAAAATACCATGCAAAATTAGTTGAGGCAAAATTAGGGGTAATCTACATTGGCTGGATAACCCCCCCATGACAACAAGCAAGGAATTTGGGGGATAATTGTATTTTAAAAATTGTGGCCAAGAAAAAAAAATAGCTTCTTTGGTTTAAGTAAAGCCTTTTTGCAATAGATATGGTAAGCAACTAAAGCTGTGAGGCAGTAATTCAGAATATATATATCCTTATAAAAAAAAAAAAAAAAAATCTCCTTAACTTCAATTCCTTACTTGCTTACTATCCAATAATCATCTGAGGGGTAAAAAAAAGGACATTATCCATAATACCTTTAATTTAAAACACAACTGTACAGTACATATAATACACAGTATAACACAATACAGACAAGCTAATAATTGTGCACATTATAACAGTCAAGATTGTATGGAATGTAGTGCATATTAATACTTTGTTTCCTCATACATATTTTCTTTACACATCCTCTTAGTATAACTTACATTTCTTAAGGAGAAAAATGAAATCCTGGGACTATATATACACTATAATTTGAATATATTTACATGATCATAGACTACCAGCCACACAAAGAAGAGGAGTATCATGTTCATAATCATTTAGATTACTACTTGCAGGATCACGCTATGAATTTAATTTCGTCCAGCAAAGCATTAATGTTGAAAATATTTCTTCAAATTTCAGAATTACTCTATTCCACTATTAAAGACATTCAACCAAAATAGTAAAGCAACACTTACAACCTGATAATCACATCAAGTGCTATTTTTCATTCTGTTTATTTTTTAACACCTACTGTCTTTGTGCATATGTAATTAGCTTCATGTAATTTAGGACACCTAGAAATCTATAAAAATCTTTCTAGAAAACAGATACTCTTCGAAGAATAACTTTAATTTAACAATATTATATTGATATCAATAATTTGATAACCAGCTCTACATTACCAAACTTGGGAAAAAAAATTGCCATGTCTCTAATAATGCTTGTTCTGAATACTTTTGAATAATTCATTATCCTCATATTATTGAAATGGTAAACACACCCACAAACATCCACATCCATTTCCCCTACATGCAAATATGGAATTTCATATCTAAGGTTAAGTCACTAAATCACTATATCATTTATGGTCATGATCAATTCTATTGTACAAGAACTGGCCGGTTAAACCATACAAGTAAGATTTGTTTTTGCTGAAATAAATATTCATAAATACTTTTAAATTTATGCCTAATTATAAAGTGAAAGGTATAAAACCCACTCTACTGCATTTACCATTCACAGACTTTAAATAAACAAGTGTACAAACTAACATATGCAATAAACTGTTTAACCTGCTGTTATAAAATGGTTTAGTAAATCTGATTGATACCTTGCCAGCCCTCGTATATTCAATTACATTATTTATTCATGAAACATCTAGCTCAAACAAAGACTGAATTTAACTTTTTTTTCAAATGTATAGGGGACTACATTATTCTGGCAGCAAAAAAGAGCATACAAGTATCATCTCTTATATACTGAATTTAATCAGCTGTAGCAACCATGATAGGCTTTCCCTTGGGGTCATCAAAGCGATCCATGGTTTTAATGTCGCTCAGCATGTACATTCCAGAGAACAGGATGAACAGCAGGAGCAGTGTCACTAACAGAGCACACCAGATGGGTACAGTAAAGAACCCAACACAGTCCCAAGACCCACTGAACTTTGTCTGACTGGAGTTGAATGGCTGAACCTGAAAAGATAGGATACATTTTATAGCTGATTTTGAAAACTAACTAGTTCCTAATGATAATTAGCTTTTGTTTCACTGTTAATTGTACTACAATCCTTTATATTTACTTTCTGATAGTATATCAAGGAAACAACACAAATGATTCATGCAGTTAGCCATGTGATGAATATATTAATTTTAGTTATCTTGTGTTTATATGCATCATATAAAATTAAATATCAATGAATTAATTTTAATAATTCTGTGGTTTTGAATATATGGTTAAATCTACATCTAGATATCTATATCTAATTATCTAAATATCTATATATCTAGATATAGGCTGAGAAATATAGATTATCTCTCTCCCTCTCCCTCTTTTAAAAAAATACCTCACATTATACTTAATCTTTAGTAATATAATTTCATGGATTTCTTTATTCATCAAAATGTGCAATTTTATGTTATTTTGATATTTCATTCCAGTCATAGCCAGTTAACCCCGCATGGCAGAGAAAGTTTCATAGCATGTATCATAGGTATTCCCTGAGAAAAAAAACAGCCTATATGTTTTGTACCCTGTCACACAGAGTACCTGAAAGCATAATATTACATGACCTACCCCCTCATATAAGCTTGTAGTATTATAGAAACACCATATAAGGGTAAGTATCAGTTTAGCATTACACAGAGAAAACTGTATCTTTAGCAGAGAAGCTGGGCTTTTATGCATTGAAGGGTTAATATGAATGACAGAGTTGAAAGCTGTGGTAGTGTTAAGTCCAACTGCATCAATTTAATAGCAAAAAAAAAAAAAAAAAAAAAAAAAACATTTCTTATGTAGTATTGGGTACTGCCAGAACATAAATTTCCCTAGCACTTATAAATCTTTTGATTTTTGTAAATCAAAAGAGAAATCAGTATTTTCATCACAAGCATTCAATCATTTTGTTTCAACTTTTCTTTTTTTTAATGCAAAATATTTTTCCAGATCACACATACCTGAAAGCCATCAAGAACCATCATGATTGATTTGGTAGTGCTGTTGTTCTTCAAATATGTCTTCTCACTACATGAATATGACATTCCTAAAGGAATGCCTCCAATATCATTCTTAGCCAGCTGTTTATAAAAAGACAAAATATGAGCATAATTATATTAGATAAGAATAGTACCATTATATATATACATTTGTGTATATATATATATATACATTTGTATATATATTATATATATATATATATATATAT